GGGCGCTGCCTTGGGTGCTGCCTTGGGCGGTGCCTTGGGTGCTGCCTTGGCCGCGGGCGCTGCCTTGGCCACGGGTGCTGCCTTGGGTGCAGCCTTGGGCGCCGTCTTGGGCTTTGTGGGAAATCTCACCCTCTTGGGACGGAAGGGGGAGTCCGCTTCATACGCCGGCTCCGTGGGCAGGTCGTCGATCATTTTTTTTCTCTTCGCCAGGTCGTCGATCATTTTTTTGCTCTTTGGCAGGGGCAGCTCGGGCGGCTTGGGCTTGTTTTTGCTGCCCGGGGGCCTGCCTCTAGGCCTTGGCGCCGGTTGCGCTGGCTTCATCGGTTTTTTTTAATAGAAAATATTTTTTTAAAAGACCTTCGGGGAATTAGACGTGATCCAAAAACAGCACGAAGGACAAGGACGAGCCCCGCAGTCGGACGACTTGGCCTTCCAGGTCTGTCAGCCGGAAGCGCAGGTGTCTCAGGGTGATGGGGCCCCTAACGGCCATGAAGTGCCCGTCATCGGAGCCGGTCTCCACGAGGGTGCCCACGCCGCTCTTCAGCGTTATCTTGGACAGGATGTCGTCCCCCAGATTGCCCAGCACGCGGCTGGCGTTGGCCCGCTGGGGGCAGCGCAGGTAGACCTCGTTGTATGCCATCATGCGCACGAACTCGAAGACCTGCTGCCCGCCGGAGACGAAGCTGGGGCCAAGCATGTGGTCGATGCTGAAGGGCTTGGATGGCGAGGCGGCCGGCGAGGTGGGGTAGTCCACAACGTTAGGGAACTGCTGCTGCAGCTCCAGATCGTTCAGAATGTCGCTATAGGTAGCAGTAGCGAAGTTGGAGCTGATCCAGGCTGCCAGCCGGGAGCCCGTGTAGGCGCCTTCGGGAAGGAGCGCCCAATTCAGCGTGCCGAGCGCGGCGTCCACCCAGTAGAGGTAGCGACCGCGATCAGTCGACAAAAAGCTGTCCGCGATTCTGATCTTGTAGACAGCCAGCCTGGCGTCGCTCTGCAGGTGCAGGGACTCTCCCAGGTCTACCTCAAAGTCGCTGTCAGAGCCGGCTACCCTCTTGCGGCTGTCCACGTAGATCGTTGTCATGCCTTTTCTAAGGAAGCCGCCCGTTCGGCGAACGATGGGTGGCTGGACGGCTGCGACGGAGGTGCAGCAGGAGATGTTCTCAAATCGTGCGCTGATCAGTGTGGAGCTAGCGAACAGCTTCTGGCCCAGGAAGCTGAGCGCCGCTCCCATCGGCTTCTTTTTCCAGAGCGAAGCGCTCTTCGAAGCGCAAGTAGAACATCTCATTCTTTGGCTTGAGGTAGTAGACGAAGAGGAAGCTGTAGGGCTCTCGGGTCGCCTGCTCGTAGATCCTGTGCAGCTTGTCCTTCGGCAGCAGGGCGCCGAGCTCTTCGATGACGGCCTCCAGCTCGTGCTGGTTGCGCAGCCTCCAGCAGCAGAGGAATTGCTGATTGACCCGCACGGCTGCGCTGATTAGTCTCAGCTTCTGTGAGCTGACCCAAGTGCTGATCTGCGTATGGCGGCCCCTGATGAAGAGTGTATCCAGGGCGCCGTTGGCCTTGTGGAGCTGCGGCATGTCCGCTAGGTCGTCCAGGATGATCAGCACCTGATACAGCTTCTTCATCTCCAACTTCTTGGATGTCTCGGTGATCTTGCGCTGCCTCTGGATGATGCCCCGCAGCGCCGGCTCGTCCCAGTCCTCCCAGTACGCTTGCTCTTTCTCTGTGTTCACGCCCAGGTCCTGCTCAATGTACTTTTTGACGGGGATCCAGCCATCGTCGATGTTCACACTGGGACTGAATATGTAGATTTTCTCGAATACGCCTCGATACTGCTCCAGGATGAGGCTGATCAGCGCCACGGTTTTGCCGGACTTGCTGGGCCCGAGGAAGATACCTGTGCAAGGGACCAGGGGCACCACGGGGTCCGAGGATTGTTTGCTGCTGTATTCTGGCGCGGGGAATACCTTGATCTTCCCCATGACGTTCCTTTGCGTTACTTGTCAAATTCGTTGCCAGCGGTGCGTTCATCCTGCTGGCCTCCGGTGGTCTCTGCCGCGGCGGGCGGGCTGGCGCCTGTGGGTTTTAAACAACTCACAGCTACACAGCTGCCTCTATTCTGGCGCGTTCATTCGCGTCGCCGCTTGCCGTGGTGTGTAAGAAAACACACCAAGAGTGTTCAGCGATGGTACCTGTGCGCCGGCCGAAGAAATGCCCACACGGCGTTACTCCTACGAACTGCAGGCAGGGCTGCGGTGGAGGAGCGTGGTGCGAGCATGACACCCGTCGCGCGGAATGTCGTGTGTGCAAGCCCCAAACATACTGCTGTCATGACAGGCGAGTCAGATCCTGTAAGGAGTGCTCAGGCTGTCCGCACGGCTTCCTGCCGTATTTCTGCCGTGAGTGCGGAGGCGGCGCTTTCTGCCCGCATGATAAGTACAAGAGCCAGTGTCGAGAGTGCAATGGCAGCTCGTTCTGCGCGCACAACGTCAGAAGGACATTGTGCAAGACATGCCGTGGCGCTGGTATCTGCGAGCATAACCGACAAAAAAGTCATTGCTCGCTTTGCCAGAACTTCGTATGTGAAATCGAGGGGTGTCCGAAGCAAGGGCAGCGATTTGGGGCGGCCTACCGTTTGAGACAACACATGCAGAAGCGGCACGGCGACAACCCGCGCGCAGTGACCAGGAGTAAGGAGCTTGAGGTGCACCAAGCACTCCGCGACGCGCAGATCGCCTTCGAGTACCAGCACTACCTGCCCTTCCGCGGCTGCGGGTTGGAGTCGGAGACGGCCCACGCCTTCGCGGACTTTGCCCTGCCGACTCCGTGGGGCTACGTCCTGCTGGAGGTTGACGAGGAGCAGCATAAGGTCTACGACCCCAGCTGCGACGTGCGCAGGGACTTTGACATGGCCGCCAGCGTGGCGCTCGGCAGCGGGCACAAGCTGCTGGTGCTGCGCTACAACCCGGACGCCTTCAAGATCGCCGGCATGACGCGGCGGACCACCAAGAAGGAGCGCCACGCGCAGCTGATCCGCCTGCTGGGCGAGCTGTTGGCGCGCGAGCCGGAGGCGCCTTTCACCCGCCTCTTTCTCTTCTACGACCGGGCCGCGGAGAACAGCGCGCTGCCCTGCGTGGCGGAGCACTGGTCCGAGCCCGTGCGCGCCGTGTCCCGCTGCGCATGATAGTCCCCCAGAGACTAAAAGGCTGGCATGCAGCTGAAGTACATGGGAAGTAAATCCTGGTTAGCTCCTCACGTGGACCGGCTGCTGGGGGACGTCGCTGTGCTTCACTCTCCCTTCTTCGGCTCTGGAAAGCTGGAGTACTACCTCGCCGCCCGGCGTCCGGCCCTGAAGGTGCGCGGCGTCGACGCCTTCGAGCCCGTCGTGGTGTCGACGCCTTTGAGCCCGTCGCAAACCTGCACCGCTGTTACTTAAAGCAAGACCCGGTCTTCCTGCGCTCCTTGCTGCGCCTGGCGGGGCGCAAGATAGACAGGCGCTTCTACTTCAGTCGCCTCCTGCCGGGCACTCAGAGAGGCCGCGCCGGGCGCCGGGCCGCCTGCTCGTACGTCCTGCTGCGCAACAGCTTCTCGGGAAAGTGGGGCTCCTTCGCACAGCAGCGGCCACTGGCGCTGAGCAGCGTGCGGCGTCTGCAGCGGCCGCCCACAAACGTGACCGTGCGATGCCAGGACGCACTGGCCCATCTACGCGCTCTGCCCAGCCAAGCGCCGCGGCATTGTATCTACGCCGATCCTCCCTACATCTTCCCAGGCCGCAGCATGAACTACTATGGCACGAGGAGGCGGGGGCATGACCTGGCCTTCCACTCAGAGCTCCGAGACGCACTCTTCGCGAGCGGCCTGCCCTTCCTCGTAAGCATCAATGACGTGCCTGAAGCCTGGGAGCTCTACAGCAGGGCCGGCTCCATCACAAGGCTGTGCTCGGGCAAGAACAGCTCCAAGCCAGAGCTGCTGGTGCTGCATCAGGGCAATCCTGTGTGTGGCGCAGGAATGGGCGGAGCAATCCTGTTGCCACAGCAGGATTGACTGGGGCAATCCTGTGCCCGACACAGGATTGCCAGGGCCCGCACCAGGCCCGTACCAGGCCCCAATCCGACTTCGGCCTGGAGCGAGGTCGGATTTCCGACTTCGGTGGAGAAAAGTTCGGCTCTTAGACCGAAGCCGCGGAGCCGGCCGCTTTTCCAAGCCTTTTTGCGCACTTTTCGGTCCCAAAGAGAGCGGTGACGAAGCGGTGACATCGCAGTGAGACTGTTTTTGGGCCAAAAAGCGCCGTTTTGGACAGGTAACGAGAGCCGATGGTGAGATGGCTTTAGGCGTTGCTCTCCGGAGCGACGTTTCGCAGGTTCGATTCCTCCCCGGCACCTCGGCGGGCTGACGTGTTAGAGACCGGTGACTTCGGCGGTGACGAGTTCAGCGGGCTGACGCGTTACGTGGAAGAACCTCGGCAGGCTGACGTGTTACTTGGGAGCACCTCGGCGGGCTGCCGCGTCAGACACTGGCTGACTCTGGGCTGTGCCTCGGCGGGCTGACGTGTTAGAGACCGGTGACTTCGGTGGTGACAAGCTCAGCGGGCTGGAATTCGCAGGTTTTTCGAGGCAGAATACGGATTTCGGAGCATGGCGAACACCTGGAGCCGGTTTTCGAGTTCCTCTCGATGTACGAGCGCGGCAGATGTCGACAATGACCTTTCCCAGCGAGCTGGCCGATGCGGCCACTAGTGTTGAGAGAGGTTGGCAAACCTTGCAGCAGCCAGTGGTACTGGGTGAGCCGTGCGTGACGCGCTTTCGGGGGAATGGCACCATGTTTCGTTGGTCGGGAAGCTGGTCCAGGATTTCAGATGTTGGCGCCGCCGCCTCCATCGAGGAGCTGTGCGTCACTCTACGGCAACACCCTAGTGTTGGTTCTTTGTGGCAGAGCTTCTTGGATTTTTCCAGGGCGTGCAGAAGAAGTTTCGTCTGGATCGCTGGACAGTGGCTCTTGAGCTTCACTGCGAGGTGACAGCCCGCACTGGCGTTCCATCAGTCCACATTCATTGCATGTTTGATTCTGCAAAGTCTGTGAGCCTGGCTGCTTCGGACTTGCGGTTTAGAGATGCCCACCCGTACGCTTCTGTGGATGCGCCACGGGCGCGGGGTCGCAGCACTCGTCGCAGCTATGATCAGGGACACTACTATCTCCAGGTGCCCAAGGTGGGCGGAGTGTGCATGCAAACTAACTATCGCGCCTTCAACTCGTATCCTATTAGTCCAGATTGGGTGACCAACTTGTGGCAGACCAACAAAATAAGCACCACAGCTGCTCGCGATGAATATGTCAAGTGCAGAAAGCACGTGAAGGCCTATTTAGACAATCTGGCATTTTGCAGCCAATGCGAGCGTGACCAGGCAATTGTGGAGAAGAAGCATGCCGTCGAGCAGGCTTTATTGCCGCTGCAAAAGAAAGCTGCACGCATCGAAATCGTGGAGGCGGAGTTTCTGCCACAGTATGAGAAGCCCATGTTCCGACGGCGATTCCTTGTTTTGACCGGGGCCTCATGCCTCGGCAAAACAATTTTTGGATGTTCACTTTCTGGCCCTGGAAAGACGCTGGTTGTCGATTGTGGCTCCGCGGACCAACCAGACCTTCGACCTTTCAATCCTTTGGTGCATGAGACGATCATATTCGACGAGTGCAGAGCATCGACTGTGGCCAACAACCGCAAGATCTTTCAGGGAACCACGCAAAATGTGGCGCTTGGGCATTCGGCAACCAATATTTTCACGTATTCTGTGTGGCTTCACGGAGTGAAGATGGTAGTCACCAGCAATCGCTGGCATGAAGATGTGGCTGAGTTGCCAGCATCCGATCAAGCCTGGCTGCAGCATAATGCCATCGTAGTGAATTGCATTGAGAAGCTTTACGAGGCGTGAAGACGCTGGTTGTCCCAGATCCTTTTTGCTTCTAGGTAAGTACCTTGCTTGCGGGCGACCGCCGTTTCTGCAGCTTATCCGGCTGCGCTGCTGCTAGAGGCGGCGCGAGTCGCAAGAGGTTTCACTTGCTCGATCCAACATGATGCATTGGTCTGGGGAACCGGTTGTGTTGCAAAGCATGTTTCTTGCCTTGGGTGGGAGAATTTGTAATTAACTGTGACCGGGCAGAAGCCTGTAGCCTCTGAAAAAATCGGATGCAGCTGCGTTGTGTGTTGAGGAGGGTGCTCTTGTTTCTGGGTTTGCTGTTACGCCACGGTTTCAGCTTCAAACTAAAGGTAGTCGAAGTCTAGGGTCGCAGACACTTCTACCACTTTCACGCTTGAGCCTGAAGCCATTGCATTTTGCACAGACCCATTCACCGAGTTAGGCAGCAGTTCCTTTCAGCCTTCCACATACCCTCGCTCCATCACTTTTGGGCGTGCGGGTATCTTTGCCAGGCGAAGGAAGACTTGAGCCAAGTTGCGTTTTTGAGTTTTGGTTGGACCTAGAAATGGGACCGGTTTTCATAGCTTGGTTGAGCTTCCCACCCATGGCCCCTCGTGGTGTAAACACTTAGAAGACAGCCTTCTTCTTCTAACCAGACGCCGACAGATGGAAGATTCTGTGAGAAGGGGTACGAAGCTTGGATACCTGCCCAGTTTTTTTCTTTGCGAGAGTTTTTGTTTCAGGCCACTCCACAGTCAGCAGAGGTTGCAGGTCAAGGCCAGTTATTGGTTTTAGGCATGCCCCGTTGAAGCCCCACCCGCAGCCTCACAAACAGGGCTCTGCCACATGTGTACACGTATCTTTTTATGTGTGGGTAAACACAGGCAGGGACGGAAATAGAGATGAGTATGGTGTTATCTAGCACAGCCTGTGCGAACACATGTGAGTTTGAGAAGCCTTGTAGAGCCATGTGAACCTTAGCAGGGTCACCCCCACTTCGTCATGGCGGCCGAACTGCAGCAGTCGCACCTCAGGGCCGCGCTTGCAGAGAACATGCGCCAAATCAGAAGTTGTGAGCAGCAGGCTAAGAGACGTGCAGCGTCGCTGGAAGCAGGTGGCCTCACTTCCCTCAGTGTGAAGAAGGTCCTAGCGGTGTACACTTTGTCGGAGTGGCAGAAAGAGGCCGCTCTCCAAGCTGCGCAGCAACTAACTACTTTGAAGGCAGAGCACCCGCAATATCCAACCAGCGCCTTGGTTGACCGCATGTTTCTGCAGGCAGACTTAAATGATTTGCTGTGCATGTTTGATGACACGAACGTCCAGTGGGAGCAAGCGGTTCGCTTTGCGCGGCAAATGTTGGCAGAGCGTGGAGTGTTTTCCTGGGTTAAGAAGCAAAATCTCGCACATGGAACTGCGCCTCTGTCAGCAGATGTTTTCGACAGACTGAAGCGCGAGATGCGCGACAACGCTTTGCCTGCACCGGCTCCAGCCACCAGCAGGGGCATTCGCAAAGCGGTTGCTCGGTGGCGCGCTCGCTGGAGTGTTCGCAGGGCAAAGCTGCGAGAGACGGACCAAGTGGATCCGGAACTTTTGCGACAAAAGGCGGGGGCATTTCGGGGTTTTGAGGGCCCTTTTTGGGGACCATCAGGAGGTCTAGAAAGTGGGGAATTTTCAGGAACGGGCGCTATGTATGTAGCCCGGAAAGCGGGCTTCTTTTGCGGCCCGGAAGTGATGGGCAATGGGAGGGAAAATGTGTGTGTTGTTTTGGTTAACTTTGCCAGGTGTTTTGCCCTATCAGGTGCACATGTTCTGGCGCACCGTGTCTTCTGTGACCGCCAAGTGCCATGCTCTCGAGCAGGAGCCGCTATGGCTTAACCTTGACGAGACGTCAGTGTCTTACAGCCCCGACTGTTGTCAGGGCTGTGTGGTAGCAAAGAGCCACTGGTGCAACATGCACCCCGCAGGGCCGCATCGGCGAGTGCGCCCGGACCGGCGAAGGGGCGCCTTCACCTATGTGGCCCTCATTGCAAGCAACCCGGCTGTCCAAGCAGTCCTCCCTCATTTTTTGATTAGCAGTTCTGCACGGATGCCGAAGAAATTGTTCAAAGCTTATCACGCATTGCCAAAGACCAGACTGCAGCTTCTTCGTGCCAAGTCCTCTTGGGCAACCTCTGAAACCATGATCTTGATCTTCAAAGCCCTGAAAGAAGCTGTGGCGCCTTGGGTTCCAAGCCACAAGCCAATCTTGCTGTTAGACGTGGCAGGCGCGCATCTTCCCAAGGAAGTTTTACGCGCTGCACGTACGAATAACATCCAACTGATATTTGTACCTGCCTCCGCTACAGCACTGGTGCAACCCCTAGATTTGTTTGCTTTTGCATCTTTCAAACTATTCTTGCGACGCCGCCAGCAGGAGGAAAGGGAGGCAGAAGCAGATGGACAGCCGCAGCCAATTGCCTGGCTGTGGCACATAAGCCAGGCGCCGCGATGGTTCTTTGCCAGCAGGAAGTGGCAGCGTGCGTTCAAGGCCGTGGGGTGTGGGTGTGACATCAATCACATCCATCACGGGCTGAGAGAATTCATGCAGCATCCAACTGAGTTTCCGCCCCCGGTAAAACCGAGTGCTGCGGAGCTAAGTGTCATCTGGCCAAAACGGCGCAGAATGAGCTATGCCTACAGGAGCCTGTTTTAGTTACTGTCTGGACACACGGCCGCAGGCAGTGCGCCACCGTGCCCAAATTAAATTTGAGGCACTGGAGGGGCCCGCAGGCCTGAAGCTTGAAACGCTGCGTTTTTTCGGCCTTGAGAGTGAACCCTGTGACCGCTACTCGCGGCCTGAGTGCGTTTTGGGCTCCAGCTCGGCTTGGCTTGCTTTTGTTCTTCCTCGTTTGGCAAAGCCTTTTTCAGTGTGCGCCATGGCCGACACACCTGCAGACAGACCCGTGCCAAATCCGGAGACCGAAGGTGGCAGGCCTCCAGTCGATCCACTTGTGGCTTTGCGCGCCGCTCGCTTGGTCCTCAAGAAACAGTTGAAGGATGCCACCCGAGAGATTAAGAATGAGGCCTGGCCTGTCCAGCTGAGGTTTGCTATTGGCATAAGCACACTTGAGTGACCTAACCCACACGCCAGCTCGAGTGCTTTTTTTTCTTGCCCCTTCACAAACAAGAAAAAGTGTTGTCGTCGGGCCAGCATGCATTTGCGCAGGCGCGCAAGCGCAGCCGGCTGTTGAAGAAAGCCGGGGGGCTTTCATCGTCCGATCTCGTCTGGCTCTTGTCGCGGAAGTCCGCTGCTGACTGAGCGGGGAGAATGGACGCACCTTTGCAAAGGTGCCTCTGTTGGCACAACTTTCTGATCAGGTGAGCCGGCTGAGACATTCGGACAGCTAAGCTGACCCTGGAAATGTTTCAGGCCGATTCTACTTGCTTTGTGGTGACAGCTGAGCTGACACTGGAGTTACTGGAGTTGTGTCGTCCAATAGCATCTCATTCTTGCCTGCCTGCCCAGCTGAGCGCGCAAAAGATTTAGCTTGCCACCGCCGTGAAGATGTGTCAGCTTGATTGTGGTGCTTTTGATGGCCACATGTGCGAGCTGTACATGGCGTGCTATATGAGACTCGGATCAGACCAGAGCTGCCTGCCCAACATGGCCATAGCGCGCCAGCGTCCAAGCCATGATCATGTGTTTGCCACGCTCGGTAGGGCCCTTGGATGAGTGTGCGCCCAGGCTGCTGCTTCGTCGTCGGCGTTGTCGTCGCCGTCGGTTCGGTGTTGTTGTTGCTGTTGCTGTTGCTACTGCTGCTGTCGCTGTTGTCGTTGCTGGTGTCGCTGGTTTGTCGCTGCTGTTGTCGTAGCTGTTTGTTTTTCTTTCTTGTTCTTGCTGTCGGGTCGTCGTGGCGGCGGTGGTGGTGGTGGTGGTGGTGGTGGTGGTCGTCTTTGTGTTCCGTTCTTTTCCGCCCGCTCGCCCTGTGCAGGTGCCTACATCGACGGGGAGCTCTTCGCGGACCCCGTGCCTTGGTGCGTTGTCCTTGTTCTCGTTGTCGTGTGTCGTGTCTCGTGTGTCGTGTGTCGTGTGTCGCGTGTCGCGTGTCGCGTGTCGCGTGTCGCGTGTCGCGTGTCGTGTGTCGTTTGTCTGTTGTTGTTGTTGTTGTTGTTGTTGTTGTTGTCGTCGTCGTCGTCGTCGTCGTCGTCGTCGTGGTCGTCGTCATTGTCGTCGTCGTCGTCGTCGTCGTCGTCGTCGTCGTGGTCGTCGTCATTGTCGTCGTCGTCGTCGCTGCTGCTGCTGCTGCTGCTGCTGCTGTTACGCTTGTTTATCTGTCTCGTTCTTCTGTCGCGGATGGTCGTGGGCGGCGGTGGTGGTGGTGGTGGTGGTGGTGATCGTCTTTGTGTTCCGTTCTTTTCCGCCCGCTCGCCCTGCGCAGGTGCCTACATCGACTGGGAGCTCTTCGCGGACCCCGTGCCTTGGTGTGTTGTCCTTGTTCTCGTTGTCGTGTGTCGTGCGTCGCGTGTCGTGTGTCGTCTGTCGTCTGTCGTTTGTCTTTGCTGTCGTTCTTGTCGTGTTCGTTCTTGTCGTCGTCGCCGTAGTCTTTGTCGCTTGTTTTTTTTCGTTGTCGTTGTCGTCGTTCTTGTTGTTTTTCTCGTTGTTGTTTTTGTTGTTGTTGGGTGGTGGTGGTGGTGGTGGTGGTGGTGGTGGTGCAATGCCTGTTGTCCGTTGTTTGCTTGTGCCCTCGCCCTGCGTAGGTGCCTACATTGACGGAGGGCTCTTCGTCGACCTGTTGTTTGTGGTCATTGTCGTGGCGGCGGCTGTCGCTGGAGACACGAATTCTTGTCACTGCCCCTTTGCGGGTGTTTGACGCGGTCGCCTCTCTGGAAATTTTGTCACTGCCGACAACCTCAGCCTTGCTGGACACTTTGCGAGTATTGGAAACACGAATTTTTATCACTGCCTACAATTTCAGATTCCTGACAGGAGACCACTAGTGTCGCCTCGCTGGCAGCACTTTTTTTTTTTTTTGCCACTGCCAAAAAACCTCGCATTCTCGGACAGGAGACCACTAGTAGTTGAGGCAGCAGCCGCGATTGTGCAAAAGCTGGGGCTTCACACATGCTCCCTGACGAGCTCGTGCCTTTTTCAGGGTCCAAGCATGGTCCTGGCTTTTGGGTTTTAGTGATAATTATACTATTCTCCCACCGCGCAAACCCCGGACCATGTCTTCAAGCCATTCGGGTTTGCGTTGCATGATGGTCCTGGCTGGCCCTGGCCCATGACAAACCTGTGAGTTAGCTCGGCATTTCTGGTCCCGCGCCGTTCCTGGTGAGTGTTCTCGGCACGCCGCACACTTGCTGGCTGTTGGCTTCCAGCGGTGCACGCGCCGCAAACTCGTTGGTGGCTAAGTGGTGGCTTGCAGCTTGCAGTTGGTGGACTAGGATGGGAGAGTGTTCTTGGCACGCCGCACACTTGTTGGCTGTTGGCTTCCAGTGGTGCAGGCGCCGCAAACTCGCTGGCGTTAATTTTCTCAACAGCTAAGTGGTGGCAGACACACTTGCTGCTTGCAGTTGGTGGACTAGGATGGGAGAACGTTTGCAACACAGCAATGTCAACTTTCCTTATGTTACTTAGGTGCTTGTGCCACAGTCCTCGGCCCATGGAGTCCGTGCCCAAGCGACGGCGCTTGGTTGGAAAGCAGCCTGCTTCGTCTGTTGCAGAGCCCGTGATAACCCCCGCCTCCACTCACCAGGAGAGGACCCTTGTGAAAACCAGTGTGCGAGATGCTTGGGTTGCCGCCGAGATGAGGGCCAGAGGGCTTTCGGGCCACCAAGCCCGCCAGAGGCTTCGCAGTGAGTGGACCACAGTTCCTCTCGATGTACGAGCGCGGCAGATGTCGACAATGACCTTTCCCAGCGAGCTGGCCGATGCGGCCACTAGTGTTGAGAGAGGTTGGCAAACCTTGCAGCAGCCAGTGGTACTGGGTGAGCCGTGCGTGACGCGCTTTCGGGGGAATGGCACCATGTTTCGTTGGTCGGGAAGCTGGTCCAGGATTTCAGATGTTGGCGCCGCCGCCTCCATCGAGGAGCTGTGCGTCACTCTACGGCAACACCCTAGTGTTGGTTCTTTGTGGCAGAGCTTCTTGGATTTTTTCCAGGGCGTGCAGAAGAAGTTTCGTCTGGATCGCTGGACAGTGGCTCTTGAGCTTCACTGCGAGGTGACAGCCCGCACTGGCGTTCCATCAGTCCACATTCATTGCATGTTTGATTCTGCAAAGTCTGTGAGCCTGGCTGCTTCGGACTTGCGGTTTAGAGATGCCCACCCGTACGCTTCTGTGGATGCGCCACGGGCGCGGGGTCGCAGCACTCGTCGCAGCTATGAAACTCCGCCTCCACGATTTCGATGCGTGCAGCTTTCTTTTGCAGCGGCAATAAAGCCTGCTCGACGGCATGCTTCTTCTCCACAATTGCCTGGTCACGCTCGCATTGGCTGCAAAATGCCAGATTGTCTAAATAGGCCTTCACGTGCTTTCTGCACTTGACATATTCATCGCGAGCAGCTGTGGTGCTTATTTTGTTGGTCTGCCACAAGTTGGTCACCCAATCTGGACTAATAGGATACGAGTTGAAGGCGCGATAGTTAGTTTGCATGCACACTCCGCCCACCTTGGGCACCTGGAGATAGTAGTGTCCCTGATCATGCCACAGTATGAGAAGCCCATGTTCCGACGGCGATTCCTTGTTTTGACCGGGGCCTCATGCCTCGGCAAAACAATTTTTGGATGTTCACTTTCTGGCCCTGGAAAGACGCTGGTTGTCGATTGTGGCTCCGCGGACCAACCAGACCTTCGACCTTTCAATCCTTTGGTGCATGAGACGATCATATTCGACGAGTGCAGAGCATCGACTGTGGCCAACAACCGCAAGATCTTTCAGGGAACCACGCAAAATGTGGCGCTTGGGCATTCGGCAACCAATATTTTCACGTATTCTGTGTGGCTTCACGGAGTGAAGATGGTAGTCACCAGCAATCGCTGGCATGAAGATGTGGCTGAGTTGCCAGCATCCGATCAAGCCTGGCTGCAGCATAATGCCATCGTAGTGAATTGCATTGAGAAGCTTTACGAGGCGTGAAGACGCTGGTTGTCCCAGATCCTTTTTGCTTCTAGGTAAGTACCTTGCTTGCGGGCGACCGCCGTTTCTGCAGCTTATCCGGCTGCGCTGCTGCTAGAGGCGGCGCGAGTCGCAAGAGGTTTCACTTGCTCGATCCAACATGATGCATTGGTCTGGGGAACCGGTTGTGTTGCAAAGCATGTTTCTTGCCTTGGGTGGGAGAATTTGTAATTAACTGTGACCGGGCAGAAGCCTGTAGCCTCTGAAAAAATCGGATGCAGCTGCGTTGTGTGTTGAGGAGGGTGCTCTTGTTTCTGGGTTTGCTGTTACGCCACGGTTTCAGCTTCAAACTAAAGGTAGTCGAAGTCTAGGGTCGCAGACACTTCTACCACTTTCACGCTTGAGCCTGAAGCCATTGCATTTTGCACAGACCCATTCACCGAGTTAGGCAGCAGTTCCTTTCAGCCTTCCACATACCCTCGCTCCATCACTTTTGGGCGTGCGGGTATCTTTGCCAGGCGAAGGAAGACTTGAGCCAAGTTGCGTTTTTGAGTTTTGGTTGGACCTAGAAATGGGACCGGTTTTCATAGCTTGGTTGAGCTTCCCACCCATGGCCCCTCGTGGTAAATAAATCGAGCCGCTGCCGCTCAGACACCTTCGACTTGGCACACAGGCATTTAAATTTTTATATAATTAAAAAAAGCCATCCTCATCCTTGAGGTGTGTGATATAGGGATGCCAACATGCGAAGCGCACGGAGCTGAGTTCCAGGTCGTTGGGCGAAGCAGTATTAATCCTACGTGCCCACTCGGCATTGCCCAAAAAACCTCCCCCCAGCGCCAGACCCAGGCCATTTGACAAGCCGCGAGGAAGTATTCTTTTCTTTTTTTAAAAAATAAATTTATATATTTTATATAAAACTAACTAAACGCATGCATTCCTTGTCAGACTGCCTGCAGAGGGATTGAAGCATTTAGATTTTTTTTATGAACAAAACCGCCTCAAGGGGCACAGAGCTGGGCCATTTGACAAGCCGCGAGGAAGTATTCTTTTCTTTTTTTTTAAAAAATAAAGTTTTCATTTTATATAAAAACTAAACGCATGCATTCCTTGTCAGACTGCCTGCAGAGGGATTGAAGCATTTAGTTTTTTAGAAAAAATAAAACCGCCTCAAGGGGCACAGAGCTAGGCCATTTGACAAGC